CGGAGGGGCTGGTCTGCGCGAGGGGCGGGGAAGCCTCGAGGTGCGAACTTCCCCGGGCGCCGGCGCCGGGGCTGCCGGGGTCGCCGCGGCCTTCTGTCTCTCGGCCGTGCCCCTGTGGCTCGCAGCCAGCCCATCCTTTCCCCGCGGTCCTCGGGCTGTGCCCGTTTCCATTCCTGGTGGGAGGCTGTGGGCTTACCTGCCCTTGCTGTTTTCTGAGTGTGGAAGGTGTTCTTCCAGAAGTAAGGTTTCTTTGAGGGGAGCCTACAAAATTAAAAAACGAAGCAAAACGACACAGAACATTTCGTCGGAAAGTACCACTGTTGATCTTCACAGCGCTTAATACATAGAAACCGGTCCTGTATTTGCGATGCATGGTTTATTTTCTGAGCGCTGATCTGTGCCTTCAGTATTTTCCAGTTATCTGGAGATGGTAGTTACTGTGTGCCCCCTCCCCCCGGCAGGTAGGGCAGATGTTGCCCCCAGATGGTATTTCTTAGTCTATTTAGTACAGTTCGTCTCCATTTATTTTCACAGGATTTTTATATTTAATAAACAATTTAGTGTACATCATTTGAACTTTTTGTTGTTAAGAATAATGTAAATTATAGCCAGGCATGGTGATGTATTCCTGTAATTCCAGCACTATGGAGGCTGAGGCGGGAACCTGTGAGTTCAAGACCAGCCTGAACTATATATAGCCAGACTATGACTTAAAACCAACCAACCAAACAACCCTCCAGAACATCGGAACAAAGAAGTGTAGAATCTGTCTTACCTTGCATGGCAACACAGGTGTTCTGGAAATAAAGGATGTCTAGTTCACCAATTCTAGCACAAAACTTTTAATTGCAAGCTTTGTGAGGCTTATTTTTTTCGCATTTAAAATGTTCAAGTTTGTTACTAGAGACATGGAGAAAGTTTGGAACTGATCAAGTAATTCATGCTTGGCTCTGGAGAGATAATAGACTATGTCTTACATACACTAAGCCCTTAGTAAATATTTGACTTGAAATAAAAAAAGTTTGTGAAAATCTGTACAGTGAATTAAGTAAGTCTTGCTCTCCCAGAGGTAAATAAACATTTTCTGATTTTATCTAGGTATGAAAGAGAACACTTCCTTCTCTTTCCCTGAGTCATAAAATTGGAAAATTGCTGTACAGCTCATAGAAAAGCACACACTCAGTTCCTGCCTAAACCTTCTTAGGAATATTAGCAAGGCGTACAACCAGAAGCAAATCACAGCCTGGGTGGGTGGCACAGGCTTGTATCCCAGCACTCTTGCTGCTGAGGCAGGAGGATCACTGCAACTTTGAGCCCAGCCTGGTTTACACAGAGTTCAAGGCAAGCCTTGAGAAAGCGAGACCCTATCTCAAAAAATAAAACAAAACCAGCAAATGACCGAATAGGGTAATAACAGCTACTAGGGTGGATCTGTATTAGGCCAGTAAGCTGTTTTGCGTCCTTGAAATTTTTTTTATTTGGCTTTTGTTATGCAGTCTTTCTGCTTATTAGCAATTATAAACTGCTTTTTAGTTTACAAGTGTTCCTAAGAAATGCTCATTAATGCTTCTAAAATAATAAGACAATTTGCACCCCTTCCCAGAGTTCTTGGATATGGTGTCTGCTGTTTTTCTGAAGAGTGAGGTCTATTTTTTATTATTTGATAAGTCTTCTGGTACACCAAATAGGAAAGGAGGAAGAGATTTTTCATTTTCTGGATTTGATCTGTGATGTGTCTGACATGAATCTAGTGATTCTGCTGTTTCTTAATCATCTCCAACCACACATTCCTTTCTTGAGATACTCCTGTAGTCTGTCATTGTCAACAACCTCTCCAAGAGGGCCAATGTTAAAGTTAAAAGATCGTAAGTTTCAGGTTATGATAGATTTGTTCATAAATATCTCCAGCCACTTCATTTTGTGAGTTTTGATGCTTTTTGCCAACTCCTTCCATGCTTCTCTCTCTATGGCAAGGAAGCCCAGCCTGACTCTTGTGAGTCTCAGTCGCGTGTCCAGTCTCTCTGGCCAGGGAAGCCATGTGTCACTGGCGTAGGCACTGGAGAGGGATATAATTAGAATTGCCCTTGGAGTGCATGGCTCCCCCTTGGCTTTGTGGAGGGCGTCTTTTCTGAAGTTCCTGGAAAGTGTGGGGTATAGGGTGAATGCCTACAAAAGTGAGTATTGTTAGGGTTATGGAGAGAAGGACATGACAATCAGTGAGCATGCCAAAAAAAAAGCCATTCTAGTGATAATGTGGTAACTTAAGACCAGCCCTAATTTCATAAGAATTCTTAAACAAATAAGATCAAGGAAGATAATTTAGAGTAGACAGTTTTTACAATTACTTGTATAAATTATTAAATTTAACATAGAAAAAGAATCTAACAGAAGATGTAATCTAACAGAAGATGTAATATACCATTTATATACAGAAAAAGAATCTAACAGAAGATGTTATATACCATTTATATACAGAAAAATTTCCAGTGTGATACTTCATGCTTATAGGAAACTTTATTTGGGGGGGGGAAGAGGCCTGTAAATTCATAGTAATTATTTTATTTTATTTATTTTATTTTTTTTAATTTTTTTTTTTTTTTTTTGCAGTACCAGGGATCAAACTCACGACCTTGCACTAGCCAGGCAGGCGCTTACGCCACTGAGCTATATCCCCAGCCCCATAGTAATTATTTTATTTCTAGGCTAAAACGATTCTTTGGTTACTTAATGATAGCATTTTGAGAGGAAAGTTTAAATTGGAAGTTTTATTTGTAATTATGCTTGAATTATTATTTCCAGGGCATCATTTGTTTGTAAAAACGTTGATCTTCACTCCTTTATCACCCTTCTCTGCATAGAACAGTTAGCAAATCATGGAGAACAGTTATGTTACTGTCCCAATAAATTAAAATGGCAGCTTTCAACTGTAATCCCATTACGCATGGGGCTGGGGAAGGAGGGCAGCTGGGGGAATTTGGGGCCAGCCTCAATCTGTGTGGTGAGATCCCGTCTCCAGAGAGGAAGAAAAAAAAGCAGGTTTTAAGAGAACTAGTTTTAGTGGGCTATGTCTTCACCAAATGATTTGTTTATGCAAACTTAATGAGTTGGTGAGTAATTCTACAAAAACTACAATTTTGGGTAAATAGGTGACTATTCTTGTGAACAAAGCACAGGTAAAGTTATTTAAAACTTACTTTGTTTAAAAAAGTCTGTAAACTAAAGCTGTATCAGTATGAGAGAATCTCAAGAGTACAGGGTTAGGCATCAAAAGCAAGTTGTAGAATATGTACAGTCTGATGTTATGTATATCAATTTTAGAAACATACAAAACACTCATCCAGTACTGGTGGGAGTATAAATGGATATCACTTCTATAGCATGTGACCGTATGCATTAAAAGTCACCTAGTAATACTCCATGTAGGTGACTATTCTATAGATGTACTAGAGTAATGGATTATAGTTATATTTCTTTTTTTTTTTTTTTTTTTGTCTTTTTCAGACAGGGTCTTGCTGTGCAGTTCAAAGTGGCTTTGAGCTCACTTTGTAGCCCATGTTGGTCTCAAACTTGCAACGATCCTCCTGCCTCAGCCTCCCTGAGTGCTGGTATTACAGGCATGTGCCACTACGCCTGGCTATAGTTATATTTCTAATATAAAGGTTTGGAAGTAACATTTCTAATAGGAAAAGTTATGATTTATGTAGACAGTGAAATACCTTGTAAATATTAAGAAAAAATGAGAAACTTTATGTAATTCAGAGAACAATTTCCCCAGTGTTTTTTTTATGATGAGAAAGTAAAATGGTGTGTATAGTACGCCTGCCACTTACGTGTAAACGGCAGGGGCATATGTACGCACATGTTCCTACTTTATATGTACAGGCATAGTGTCTCTTTAAAAGTACATGGAAGAGATTAATGTCACAGTAGTTGCTAGAAGAAGGGAAACTAGGTGAAAGGAGACACTGCACTTTGGTTCTTTTGATTTGTGTAAAGTACAGTCATGCTTTCAAAATACATTAAATTTGTGAAAGTCAAAGTTAAAAACAATGTGACTGTGTTTTTCATGGAGTTATACTTAGGTAATAATATATACCTGTGGGAAGCAAACACCAACTTCAGTAGAGTGGTTATCTCTGAGAAAGAGGAAGGAGAAAGGAGAAATCATAAGGCCTCAGTTGGATCTGTAATATTCTATTGCTTAAACTGGTGGTGGTACATGGGTATTTGGTTTTTGATATGCCTGAAATGTTTTGTCTTTTTAAAAAATAGTTTTTCTGTTTGTTTTGTTTTGCTTTTGGTACTAGGGATAGAACGAACCCAGGGCCTTTGTACTGAGCTATATTCCAGCCACCCCCTCCCCCATTTTTTTCAAGACAGGTTCTTACTGAGTCACTAAATTGCCCAGGCTGGGCTTGGACTTTCAATCCTCCTGCCTCAGCCTCCCAGAGAACTGGAATCACTGGGTTGCATCACTATGCCCAGCTAAAAATAGGTAGCTTTCTCAAACTTTTACCTACAGCTTTTAAACTCATTCCTCTCCAGGATTAAGCTGTTCCCTTAACACTTTTAGGTTAAGGGAAATTTTCATTATTTTACAGTGGAAACAAAATGGTTAGGGGGATAGAATACCTTCAACAGATGTCTATATCTTTCACATCTCTAGCCTACTAAAATCTTCCCTTTCAAAGTATTATCATGTTTCACTTTAGGATTACATATCTGATTAGAAGAGCATTTGTTGCAGTGTTCTCTAGTTAGACAAAAATTCTTCTTGGAGAGCAGTAACATGGTTGCTAGCAAATACTTGGTTGATTAATCTGTTCTTGTGAGACAGACGTGAATGTCGGCAGCCTTTGCTGCATGTGAAAAGCAAGTTTTCTGTAGCCAAAATACCAGTAGTAGGTCAGGCGTGGTGGTTCATGCCTATACTGTAATCCCTGCTACTTGGGAGGTTGAGGTGTGAGGATCACTTGAGCACATGAGTTCCACACCAGCCTGGACAATGTTGTGCGACCCCCATCTGAACAAACAAATGATGACAAAACCAAACCGAAACAAATAACATTCTGCCTGCATTGTGCCTAAAAGCAGCATAGTAGCACTGTTATAAAACAGTAACAGTTTGAAGAGTAAAGTTTTGAGCTTTGATAAAAGGAAGCAAAGCTTTTGTAACACAGATTCCTGACAATGTTCCTTTACTATAGTCTTTATTTGTCTATGGAGCAGCAGTTAATGTGGCTGCAACAGTTTTCTGAATGGAGAATCTTTACCCTAGTTTTGAGAAGATGGTTCTGTTTCTAATAATGTGCCAAGCATATTCCACAGTGCTGGGGTGAGCAGAGTGGATAGCTCTGAAGATGAAGTCAGGAGACTTGCCCCTACTTGATCACAGTAGCTTTACAAATTACAGAATCTCTTAGAGCCTCAGTGCCTTCATCTGTAAAATAAGATAATAAACACATCACAGGCTTATTGTGAGGCCCAGACAGGACAACGTGGATGTTCCCTGCACTTTAAGATATTATATATATTTTTTCCTTTTATTTTAAGGTACTATATTTTTAAAAGTATTATTCTGCTGACATTTTAATATTGAAAGTATATTGATAATGGGGGTCAGGGCAAATATTTCTGTTCCTGTAAGGACAGTGTAACAAATTATAATATAATGACCTTAAATTACCAATATTTTGCTGGGATGAAGGAAGAGGAAGAATAAAAGAGAACGTAATTCAGTGTTCGGACGTTATTTGAAAACCTTGGAGAAAAATCTTGGCATCAGTTTAAGATTGTGCTCTTTTTTTTTTTTCCTGGTACTGGGAATCAAACTCAGGACCTTGCACTTGCCAGGCAGGCGTTTGTGCCGCTGAGCTGTATCCCTGGCCCAAGGTTGTGCTCTTGCCGCCACCCTTCCCTGCTGCCATAGTTGTGTGTATGAATGCCCTGGATGCTGCTCCCATGATCGTCCTTGATGCTGAGAAGTGTTTGGTAAACACCAGGTTCTCATTAGGTGTGTGCAGGGGTCTTCATTTGGTTTCTAAGGATGATAATGAAGCTTGATTACGTTGGTAAATTTGAAATCACTCAGGATCACAGAGCTGGGAAAATTCTTGTGACTCTCACACGAACCAGGAAGAAGCAAGTTGAAAACACACAGGGGGATTTCTTCTTTGCAACACTGGAGAGTGAACCCAAGGAGTACTGAGCTACACACCCAGCCCTTTGTAATTTCATTTTAATAATTAATTAATTAATATATCTCTGTTTGAGACAGGATCTTGCTAAGTTGTCCAGGCTGACTTCAAACTTGTCATCCTTTTGCTTCAGTCTCTTACTGGGATTCATTTTGTGGGGATGGTGATACACAAACAAAATTCCTCAGTGCCTCCTCCCAGAGAAAAAAACAGAAACAAAACAAGATTAACAGGATTTTTTTTTTTTAACTATAGGACTTCTCAGAGCCTTCACTTGTTAGTTAATAAGTAAGATTCCAAAAGTGAGACTGTACTTTTCCCAGATTTAGGAAATCTTTTTCTGTGGGGAATTTCTGGTCTTAATGCTTTGAACAATGTACTCCAGGAAATCTATTTTAATATTAGTTTTATGATTTTTCTAGCTCACAGAAATAATTAGAATGTTGGAAAAGGGGGTTTATCAGTTGATTAATGATACAGATGGGACACAGCTTTAAAAAGCGGAAAACCACAGGAGCTGGGATGTAATATACTAGGCACAAGCAGTCTTCTCTGGCTGAGGAACTCCCAGGATAGCACAGGGCACAGCAGAGTAACTGATGTTCATACAGGCTGAACATCTGTTTGTCCTCTTCATATATAGTATGTTCCATTTAAGAAATCTTGACCTGGGGATATGGCCCAGTAGTAGAATGCTTGCTGAGTAAGCACAAGGCCTTCATGTCAATCCCCAATACTGTTAACAAATAAATACATATATTAAAAAAATTACTTTTCACCTGGGTGTGGTGGTGCATGCCTCTAGTCCCACCACACTGGGAAGCTGAGTGTCTTAGTTACTTTCTCTTTGCTGGGAAGAAATACCCAGTACCTACCAGTTAAAGGAGGAAAGGTTTATTTTAGCTTATGGTTTATAAAGGTTTCAGTCCATAGTTGGCTGGCTCCAAGCCTGGGCAACATGCCAGAAAAAAAAACAGTCCATGGCAGGGCATGCAGGAGGCAGCAGACTTCCTTATTTTTTTCCCTTTTTTATTCCATCCAGGCTATAAACCCATTGGTTGGTGCCACCAACACTCAAGGTAGGGCTTCCATTCTCCACACCTAGAAGTATCTTAATAGGTGGACTAATGTAGTTACACAGACCTTTAGTCCAGATGCCATAGATTCAGCCACCTCTGAAAAGCCCCACCTATGAGCACATGAGGCTTTGGGGGGACATCTAGATAAAAGCCACAACATTGAAGCAGGCAGAGTAGAGGATTTCAGGTTTGAGCCCTGCCTGTGCAACTCAGTGACTTAGTGAGACCTTGTCTTAAAAAAAATTAAAAGGCAGGGGACATAGCTTAGTGTGAAGGCTCTTGGTTCACTCCCTGTCCCCCACAAGATTATTTTTATTAACTTAATAGTGAATATTTTAGAACATACACTTTTAAGCTAATAAATTTGTATCATTGTGCTAGGACTGCAGTAACAAAATGCTAAAAACCAGACTGCTTGAAATACCAGGAAATTATTTTCTCATAATCTGGAGATCAGAAGTCTGAAATCAAGACATCATCAGGGTCACATTCTCTCTGAAAGGTCTGGTGAATAATGTTCCTTCCATCTTCTAGCTTTTGGTGGTTCCTGGTTGTTTGACTTGTGGTAGCACAACTTCTGTCTCTGCTTCCCTCTTGCTGTCTCTGTGTGCATAGATCTGTGTTCCCTTGTCTTGTAAGACACCAGTAATTAGATAACTGGGCTTACTCTAAATCCAAGAGGATTACCTCTTGAGACCTTTAACTAATTGCATCTTTCAGTTTTATGATTTCCAAATAAGATAATATTCTGAAGTTCGAGGTTGACATGTCTACATGACCACACTTGCTGTTACATTTTATATATATTTTTTGTTGTAGGCCCTTCATTTTTCTTTTGTAATACTTCAGTTTCTAAGTTATTTTTTTAAATTAGTTTCAGAAAATGTATTAATAAAATGTCTTCATGGTATCTTAAGATGTTGAAATTGACATAAGACGGGTTTCAGTAGAATGGATTCGTATTTGATACAGAGAAAAGGTAAAACTAAAGAATGAAATTTTAAAATAATATGGGGGTTCAGTTCATTACTTTCAAAAATACAAGACTATAAATTAAGGGTTCCTCTAATATGTTAAACTTTTACAATTTTATTAAAAGGGTGTATATACAATATTAGTATTTACACAGTAATACCATATAATGCCTTCTTGAGGATTACTTTTGAAAAAGATTTATCCCATTTCACTTGTCATTTTTTGGAAAGGGCATGAGTTTTTGGTCAGATCTGGGATCCAGTGTTGGGTTTGCCACTTACTAGCTGAGCAACTCTGGACAAGTTATTTTGTCTTTCTGTGTTCTCAGCTTCTTGTAAAATGTTGCTTGTAATACCAACCTTCCAGAATTGGGTACAAAGTACATATAATGATTATTATGCATAAATAACAACTGGTAAGGTGTATCCTTTAATTATATTGCATACTATAAATGTGTAACTAGAATTATAATATAAAAATTGTGTTTGTTTTAAAGATTCTTGCTTCATCTCTCTTTGCTTTTCTATGACCAAGTAGTCCTGTAATTTTTGTAAGTGAAATCACTGTCAAGGACGGAGGCTATGTGCATATATGTCTATCGGAAGGCTGTTGAATATTAACCAGTTAGCAAATGGGTTGAACTTTAGAAGCTAGAGATCTCAAGATTGGTGCTAGTATTGGCAGTAAGGTTAGTGTAGCAGACTGCATGAAATGTGTACTTGTCTAAAAGTACAGCTAAAGGTGTCTACAAAATAATAGCTGTTACTTAGCACTTCCAGTATGCCTAGATAAAGGGATGCTATTGAAGCTGAGTGAATAGAAAGCACAGGTCAAACACCTAAATAATAATAGCTACCAAATTTTTTCCATCTTCTATGTGCTGTGTGCTATGGAAAGGGCCTTAGAAACATTATTTTATGTATCATTATTATCATCTCTACAGAATGTCTTATTTTTACAGATGAGTAAATGGTTAGGGATTTTTACCTTGTCCAGGTCAAATAGCTAGTAAGTACCTTCAAACAGGAATAAAACATATCTATGCTTGTACATGCACTGCCTTCTTATGTGGAAATGGAATTCAGTTCAGAGAAGATAAATTTACTATTTTTGTCCTTCCTCCACTTCGGAATTTTTTTAAAAATTAAAAAATATAAAACTGAGTAAAATTTTTAAAAAATCACTGTAGAATAACTTTTTAGTTCAGCATGTTATCCTTTTAATGTATTTTCTTTGTAGCTGGCAAGTTTAGAAGCATATACATATATTTTTGTTTGTAAGAATATTTTTTGTATTTTTCCTGTTAAGAGTCTGTTACATTGGGGTAACTATATTAAACTCTTCTTTGAAACTGGGCGTTTAGGTTGTTTGGAGTCTTTTATTCTTTCAAAATACAATGAAATACACCTACTTAGGGGGCTGGGGATTTAGCTCAGCGGCAAAGCGCCTGCCTGGCAAGCGCAAGGTCATGGGTTCGGTTCCCGGTACTGGAGGGAAAAAAAAAAAAAAGAAATACACCTACTTAGGCACATTCTTGTTATCTACTTAATTCTCAGTGACATTCTTAGGAGGGGGATTACACTTGGGGGGGTAATGTAATATCATCCTTAATGCTCACTTAGGGCATTGATTGCCCTTTTGCTTCCCTGAAATGTTCAATTGGTTACTCAATCATGAAAAAAATGTACTTATTTTCTGTTTAACAGACATAAAAACTAATGTTCTTTGCATGTTTGCTTGGTTCTTAGTGTGTGTGTGTGTGTGTGTGTGTGTGTGACAGAGTGAGAGAGAGAATTTGAGTCATTAACAGTTACTCTTAGGGCATCTTCTCTGTCCTCAGTTTTGTTTTGTTTTCTTTTTTTTTTTTCTTTATTTTTATTTTAAAAATAAAAGGAGGAAAACATTAACAGACAATCTTTTACAAAATAGCAAAAGAACAGTACAGACAATACAGACAGCCTTTTACAAAATAGCAAAAGAGTTACAAACAAAGTGGTAGGAAATTAACAATGCTTGTTGTATTACATATTGATATCTTCAAAGTGGTTTCTCATGAAAATAGATAGAGAGATGCAATATTGATCAATCAAGGACTCACTGACAGTTTCTTTCAGCAAAGAAATAGAAGACAGTAGAGGTCTCACGGTATTCCAGGCTGGCCGTGAACCTACTGTATAGCTTACGCTGGCCTTGAACTTGCAGTGACCCTCCTGCCTCAGCCTCCCAATTGCTAGGATTACAGGCATGCACCACCATGCTGGGCTTTTACAGTGTCCTCAGTTTTGAATGAGTTGTACTTTTGTCATTTCCTGTATCGTTTTGAAAGTGAATAAATTATACCTGTGTATTTTCTTCTAATGATTTTATAATTTGATGAAATGCTCAAGTATTAGAAAAAGCTTTGTAGTGTACCTTTATTGATTATTGATTTTATTCTTTTTGGAGGGGCTTCTATAATTCATCACAAGGGGTAACATTCTACCCATTATTACTCCATAACTGAGTAACTCAAGTCCATGTTCTGTGGCTATTACTTTCCCTCTTATTCTTGGTGTCTGTTCAATAAATTTTTCTCACAGTATTGCTGTATCTTGTTGCTTTCTAAATGATTTTAATTGTTTTATAAAATTCTTCTTGCTCTGCTCTTCTTCCTTCATAACTCCTATATTCTCTGATCCTTCTGAATATAGTTAATATTTTTTTCCTGAAATATCCAGATATGTCTTGGGTGAATTTAATGTCTATTTTTAAATTTTAATTTTTGTATTGTAGCCTTTTGGTGTTCTTACCTTACCAATTATTATGTACACTAATTACTAATACTAGTGATACAGTAATTACTAATTATTATTATACAGTCTGAACAAGCTATATTTTGTTTCTTACAGAACTTTTAACTTTTTTCTGGACTTACTAAATTACCTTAATTTTTCATTTTTGTTTTCTTCAAACCTAAGGCTGAATTTCCCATATCTTCTAGTGCCTTTACAATATTGCATCCTTTCAAACCTGTCAGATAGATAAGGTCCCCATCCCCCACCCCCCAAAGTAACTATTTTAGATCCTCTGTTGTTTTCCTGTCTGGATGTGTTGCCCTCTAGACCTACACATCTTTCATCTCTACTTTTCTGATGATCATTTTGACAATTCTATTTTTCACCTGTATTGGATCCCTTTTTTACTAGAGCACAGGTCGTTTTTCTTGGTGTCCTTCTCAGTTTTGCTGGAATATATATTCTCGAGTAGATTCTTTAAAAAGGGTGCACAGAAGTAAAAATTTTGGAGACTGCCCATGGAACCGAAATGCTAAAAGATACAAGGGATTATCAGTGCTAAGGGAATTGTGTCTGTGGCATGAGGGAGTTTTGGGGGGAGGAGTGTGATGAAACTTTTGTATTATATGATTATAATGGTAGTTATATTACTTTCTATATGTGTTAAAAATCATACAACCAGAGATAAAAAGTTCAATTTACAGGTAATGATAATTTAAAAAATGAAAAATAAAAGAATTTAAAAATAGAAAAAGACACACAGCAAAATGAATGTCTTTTCTTTCTTTCTCTCCTTAGCCTTCCAGCTTTCCTTTCTTAAAGAAATCACTGTCATCACTTTCTTATTTATTCTTCTCCTGAATCACTGCTAAACATCTAAATCTTTGGGGGTAAAACTGGAAAAATAAGCCTGCCATTTATTTTCTGATAAAGCTAAGTCTACTATTCTTAGAATACATCAAAATATATTATCAATCAATTCTGGTACTAATGTATTAAAATTTTTTTTCCTGCAGTTGGGAAACATGAATTGACTGGGCATAAAGTTGCTGTGAAGATACTCAATCGACAGAAGATTCGAAGCCTTGATGTGGTAGGAAAAATCCGCAGAGAAATTCAGAACCTCAAACTTTTCAGACATCCTCATATAATTAAACTGTAAGCTCTATTTATATTAAATATGTTCCAGTCATCTTTTTATCACTTTTGTTAATTTGCCTAATCTGACAAGTGAGAAAGATGACTGATGATTCTTCCTGTTTCCTAAGGGCTCTGAAGTTTTTTCCTGTTTATATATTTATCTAACACTGTCAGATATGCCTATTTTCCTGTTTGTGTATTTATCTAACATTGCTAGATAGACTTATTTTCATGTCTTAACCTTGTGCATATTCCCATTATCCTTATTCTGTCCTGTTTTCTGGACAGATGCCCTTCTGATAGGTAATGTGCTTTTACTCTTGTAGAAACAGTAATTGACTTGCTAGCAAAAGTTCTGTACCTCGCTATTTCCATGTATTGTCAATTAGCCTCACTATAGAATGCACTAGAGAAAGTTTCCCTATATTGCTTATATCTGGTGATAGAAATAAAATTTCAGGAATCTAATATTTTAATAGGGCCATAATTGTACTACTTTACAGTTGCCAATTGTAGGGTTTACAAATAACTTACTTATTGCTTAGCTCCTGCTTTATTACGCAGACTGTAAAGCTGCTTAGACTTTGCTGTTGCACTGGCTAATCGTTTCATCTTCATCTCTTCTCATTTGTTAAAGTGGTTTTAAGTATGATACAGTAATGATCCCTAAATGTACGTTTCCTGTTGTGAAACCGCTTCTCTGCACCCTGGACTCCCATGCCCGCTGCTTACTTTACATCTCCATTTCGATGTCCAGGAGGAACTTTAAACTCTACAGAGTCACATCTGAACTCTTTCATTGCCGTCCTCGGCTTGCTTTTCCCATACGTTTTCATCATCACTTAGTAGTTGCTTAAGAACAAAAACTTACAAATCATTCTTAGTTCCAATTTCTCTTGCCTTCTGCCGCCTGTTCCATTTCTTCCTTCAAACATACCCGACCCGTTTCTCAGCCTTCATCACCAACAGACTGATCTGAGCCGCTGTCTGTCGTCAACTCCTGCAGTGACCCCCTTCTTCCACCTTTGCCATTGCGGTCTGTGCTTCACATGGCAGTCACTGACCCTTTATTAGACCAGAGCGCATGGCTACTTAAACCATGACTAGCTTTCATCTTCCTTCAAGTGAAACCCAGAGTCTCTTTGTGGCTTAGAAAGTTCTGTGTCTTTTGGACTCCAGTTAAACCTGTGACTCCACATCCTATTTCTCTCCCAGCTTACTATGCTCTTGCTTTATATTCCTTCAATATGCCAAGCAGGCTTTTACCTAGGACCTTTGTACTTGCTCTTCTCTCTGCCTTGTTCGCTTCCTTCCAGATAATGTCACAGTTTGATTTATTACTTTCTTCAGGCTCTGCTCAAATGTTACCTTATTAGAAGCTTTCCTTGACGATACTGTACAGAAAATTTTGCTTTATTTCTCTTCATAGCATGTTCTGCCACTTGAGATGCTGTTTTGTTTCCTGTCTCCTGGAACATGGACCATGAGAACAGAGAATTTCTTTTGTTTCCTGTAGTGTCCCCAATGCTAGCACAGTACCTGGTATATTGTAGGTGCTTAGTTAATATTTAGTGAATGAATGAATATACGTGTTTTCATATTAGTAGATAATGTTTTCTCTCACCAGGTACCAGGTCATCAGTACACCATCTGATATTTTCATGGTGATGGAATATGTCTCAGGAGGAGAGCTATTTGATTATATCTGTAAAAATGGAAGGGTAAGCAGTTCTGATTTAATCCTGTATATATTTTGTAACTCTCCTTATCCCTTACTAGCATCACAATGCCAGGAAGCAATTTTAAGAGGTCTGTTTAGTAAGAAGTTTTTTTTTCATATATAGTGAGTACCCAACTTAGGAACATTTGAATTTCAAACTTTCACAGATGTACTGTGGAAGACTCACTTGGTTAGCTTACGGACAAATCTGACTTATGAACAGTTGTCCCGGAATGGAACTTGTTCGCAAGTCAGGGACTTACTGTATGTGTTTAGGATCATAGACTGTTCATAGCTAAAAGGACTTTAAAGATGATCTCCTTACACATGTGGATAACACATGTGGCTACTGAGCCTTGTAGTGTATATATTTGTTTAGGGTCACATGATTTGTCAGTGATAACTGCACTGAGACACCAGAACGCATAATCAGATTTACACCTTTGCTATACATGAATACTTTCAAATGTATCTTGAAGTATATAATTAATCCTTATAAAACATACTATTAAGCCATTACATGTCTAGGCCTTAGTCACTTCTAGCCACATTTAAATTATTTCACCTTTTTTGATTTCAAAAATCTGATGTACCTGGAGTAATAAGAACAGGCATCATGAAGGAGGTAAAACTAGATATAAAGAATTCAGAGCTGGAAGGAGCCTGAGAAAACACTTTCAATAGTACTTTATATCATAGATACAAAAGCTGAATACTGTCCCCTGCCCTTACTTTTCCTCATACTCAGGTTATCTGACATGTAAAAGCCCATGTTAAAAAAGCCATGTCCACACAGAGAAAACTGTTTTTCACATTTGTAATCTAAAGTTACTCACATTATTCTTTCATTCTTTATAGCACATCTGATTCATCAAAATCAAACTCATTACCTAAGTTAATTTTTATTTTATTGTTTCTTAACATGGTTAATTTCTACCTCAGGTATTTTTCTCAGGCCCCTCTCCCTGGTCCAGGTCCCCTCAAAAAAAAGGTCTGCCTAGAGAAATGGGACATGGGCACAAACTAAATTGATACCTTTTTCTTCTGTCTTTCATTTCTTGGTTATTGTTCCATATTGTGGGAATTTTAACTTTTGAATACTGAAACTTCAGCTATTATATTTTATAAATCAGAGGTCTTTAAGAACTCTGGGAACAGGGTGTTGTGGCACATTCCTATAATCCTAGATCACAGGAGACTGAGGCATGAGTTCGCCGCCATCTTGGGCTACAGAGCAAGTTCAGGCCTATACTGTGTAGCAAGATTCAGTCTCGAAAAACAAAACAATACCAAACAGAGCTCCCCAACACCAAAAAACTAACATGCTAGTTTTTGCTCCACAGATGTTGTCACCTTAGCTATTTGAGGATGAGGGGTTTTTTTTGTAGTTTTTTAAAAAGTCATCTTCAGTTCTTTGCTGTTTTGTACCTTCTGTGCTTTTATTCACGTTTTTGTTTTACTTACTCCTCTCTTTTGTTCATGGTCCTTGCTCAGATATATTGTGTTTCTTGGTTTTCCACTTACTGTACATTTAAGAGTGAATTACTAAACGCCACAATCATACAGGTGGAACTTACGGATTGGTGGGGATTCCTGTAGATTGGACTGGCAGGAATTGTCCAGTTTATTAGGGTACATTATATGTCATTAGTAACAAATATTTTTCCTTGGAAGTGATGTGTGCTGTAGAAGAGACTGTCCACTTTTCTAGATGGCATTAGTTTAGCTGTCAATGCTATGGGACCTGAGTGGGGAGGAGGGCTGCAGTCTCACTTGTTAGTACGTTGGCTTCACTTAACCCACAAGTTTTCCTCATAATGTCTCATCTCTATCTTGTATCCTTCAGAACACAGTCGGTCCAGCCTTACTAGAGTAAAGTATAGGTCTTACTTCCCAGTAGGGGTCAGTTTAAAAGCTTCTTACCTCAACCAGTCCTGTTTTCACCTTATCTACCACTTCTACTTTATGGAGTTGCTGATGCGTCTAATTTCTAACCCTTGCCAGGGTTCTGTGTGCTGAGTTTATTTCTTACTGCCCCCTACCAGACTTAGGTTTCACTTTTTCTGTGGGGCAAGTCTTTATCACTGTTCAGCACAGTAACTCCTCTTGATAACTGCTGTCTTGTTTTTGTCATTCTGTCATTACATGCCTCTTACTGCTGATGTTATTTTAGTGATATTTTAAGGATACATTCTGCAGTGTTTAACTGGGAATATGCTTTGACTTTTCTAACCTTTTCTATACATATCTTCCCCCCATCCTATATATAATATCTTTGTTATTTTTCATTTGTGTAGCCTCCCTAGTTATTTTACCACTCATATTTTGTTCAACTAAGCTTTTCTACTCTTTCCTATTTTGAACCAGGTATTCTTTTTTTCCCCATAAATTCTATTTGAAAAAACAAGAGTATTAGATTGCTAAAATATAAGTAATTTTTGTAGAGGGTCTTTCATAACAGTTTAGTAGTAGTTATACTTTTGTTTTGAAAAAAATTACTAGTTTTTCTGTTGTCCCAGATTATCCATGCCATTTAAGGTGAGGAATTCTGATTTTGGAATGCTAATTCGAGACCTGTCAGAAAATTGAGAGTCCTTTGCTTGGATGATTAATAGCTTATTTATTAAATACGACTTCTTGGGAGCAAGCACATACACATCACTTACATTGAGAAAACAACTTAAAAAGTGGATAGAAAAGTTTTTAAAGAATATTTTTATAAAGGCAGTTGCAGGATAAGTTTTTTTAAGGTCCAATAAATTATATTTTATACGATGAATTAAGGCTTTTCTTTTGTTAAAACATCTTTTAAGACATAATATCGTTGCTTGCTGATTCATTCTCAATGCTTAAATGTTATATCCTCAATAGTCTAAAATAGTATCTGGCATCCCAATATCATTTCCTGTTGTCCTGCTTTATTTTCCTTCAAAGCACTGTCACTCCTAATGTTACATTTGTTTTGTTGCCTTCTTTTGTCCACTGGATTAGGGTTTTTGTTATATTCAGTGGTATATCATGAAAGTCTAAAACTGTAGCGCACTGAAGGTGTTCAGTAAATACTAAAAGAATGGAGAATTAAACATTTCTAATATTTAGGAGAAAACATGCCTAGTGTCACATAGAAGGTAAAATTATTTCAAGTAGGATATGTTATGTAGACAGGGAAATGTAAACATATGAAAATGTACGAAATATAATCATGAAAATGCTGATTTGGGTTCCAGGATCCTACCATTCCTGCTTTGTACTTTGTATCTTGCTTCACTTTAGAAGTATTATGGATGAAATTCATTGGAAGGTTTCTTGAATTTCAAGTTTATAGTTTGGAGACCTGTAGGTCAGAAAATTAATTTTGAAAGATGCACCTTTAAGATGCCTCTCTACTTTTCTTAGCTGGATGAAAAAGAAAGTCGACGTCTGTTCCAGCAAATCCTTTCTGGCGTGGATTACTGTCACAGGCATATGGTGGTCCACAGAGATCTGAAACCTGAAAATGTCCTGCTTGATGCACACATGAATGCCAAGATAGCTGATTTTGGTAAGGCTGTTCTTACGGTTCACCTGTTCATTATGTCTAGTGAACACAAGTATTCTTCAGCTAATTTTCATATGACAGACCAAGTATCCCATTTTGTTAATGAGAGGTCAAGTATACCATTTTGTTATTGAGCTTACAAAAAGGAGAAAAGCTGAAGTACTCTCTTTTTTCTGAGCCTTCTGTCTTTAAAATGGAGTTTTATGGTAGTATATAAACTATTCAGGTTGGCAGCATTAGAGATATCATTTGAAAAGAAACCACTCTTGTTGAAGAAGGTAGCAACCTATTTCCGGTATATTCTTTTGGCCAGTATGGAGAAAAAAGAAAGTGAATAGGATGGAGTTATTTGAAAGTTGAAAGCCAGAAGGTGAACTTGAACAAAAGTTTAAAAATTAAAATATTTTAAATGGAGAAAATCTGATTTCAGTTTCAGAATACTTGAGTGTAAAAAACTGGATTTATTTTTCCCTTTTTCCTCTATAAACTGACATTGTTAAACAAGAGAAAAATGAACCTCTGAAACTCTTGGTTGCTTTAATTCAAACCAGAGGAAATTTTATAAATATCATATTCAGTTTTCTATATATATTACTTAAAATTTTAGAAACTTATGTTCCAAACAGTCCTGAGCTTCTGGATAGGAGCTCTCTGTGTGTGTGTTTTCCCCTCCTTCCCTCCTCCCCTCCACTCCTCCTCCCCTCACCTTCCCTCTGTTTTTCTCTCTCTCTTTTGAGACAAGGTGTCTCTAATTCAAGCTGGCCATGAACTTACTATGTAGACCAGGCTGGCCTTGAACTTGTGGTCCTCTTGCCTCAGTCTCTCAAGTGCTTGGATTACAGGTGTGCACAACCATGCTCAGCTCCTTTTCTATTATTGAACTAAACTGTTTGACTTTCTTTATTCCTCAGTTATAATTACCTTTTTTCCCTTCATTTCGTCCTCCCCTCCCTCCCTCCCTTCTTTCCTTCCTGGGATTGAACCAAGCGCTTTCACACTGAGCTACATCCCCAGTCTTTTATATTTTGTGAAAGGGTCTCACTACGTTGTTAAATTGCCTAGGTTGGTCTTAAAATATAAGATCCTCCTGCCTCAGCCTTCCACAGTTCTGGGGTTACAGTTGTGTGACCTCATTGGGCTCTGGATTATCTTTATAGAGTGCATTTCTATAGGAACAAATGTTTCTTTTTGGAGTAAAACTATGAGGGAACTTTCAGATTCAAAATTACTGCTTCGTAAAATTTTGTTTTGAAAGACTCAACAGGATTAATAGAAACTGACTTTTAATCTTTCAAACTGCAATTATTTTCTCTGGCATTCTCTGTCTGAATAAAAGTTAAACGTAAGCCAGCTGTGGGTGTATATGCCTTTTAATCTCAGAACTCTGGAGGCTGAAGCAGGAGGATTGAATTCAAGGTCAGCCTGGACTACATAGAAATATCCTGTCTCAAAAAAAGAAAATCAGATGTAAAGAAGGAAAGTTTATTTCAGTAAGCAAAATAACCAGTGCCTTAGAGTCATTAAACTCTAGCAACACACTGACTTTAACCTTTGAAATTATACATTTGGGAATTAAGACTGATTTTGTTGAAACAAAAACCAGAATGATGGTTTATCTCTACAGTGCAAATTCAGTTTTATTGTTTAATGGGGTTTCTTTTCTATATTTGTCTTTGGGAACTCTTTGAGTAGCTATTTTTGTGCACTTTCAGGTCTTTCAAACATGATGTCAGATGGTGAATTTTTAAGAACAAGTTGTGGCTCACCTAACTATGCTGCACCAGAAGTAATTTCAGGAAGGTAATATTTGATACTTCCTACCTCCAATACATTTGTGGTTGTTTTCTCCTAGATTTTGTTAATCTATGTTATAGTCTAGTGAAAAAAAGACATAGAAAGCTTATTTTTTTCTTATCTGGAAATATTCTGTTTCTTACGAATAAAACATTACAATGAATAACCTTAAGGACTTTATAGAGGGGAATGTTAGTCTGCAAGTCAGCACTATATTAGAAGAGAGTAATTTAATTTTTTCCCTGGTAGACGATATTAAATTTAAAGCTAGTTAGTTTTAACGTAGGTAGGCTGGGCATGGTGGTCCACACCTGTGTACCCATCACTCAGGAAGCTGAAGCAGGAGGACTGCCACAAGTTTGAAGCCAGCCTGGGCTACGGAGTAAGTTTAAGTTCAGCCTGAACTATATAATGAGAACCTGTCTCCAAAAACCGTCTTACGTACATTTAAAACTTAAAATTGACTTACATGAAGAATGAAGTGTAATATAATGTGTACCTTTAATTTTTCAAAGATACGGCATTTTATAGTAGCAGTTTGTGACTTAGTGACATCCTCTCTCAAAAAACAAAAACAAAAGGCTGAGGCTGTAGCTCAGTATGAAGGCCCTAAGTTCAATCCCTAGTACTGAAAAGATAACTTTTTCCTGTGAACCATTTAGCTCGACTTCTTTCCAGTCTTAAGCTCCTTTTACCTTGGTAGGAGGCCTTAAGTTATTGTGGGAGAAATGGATTTAGTCTGTCACTAAGGAATTTAACTTTTTCTTTGTAACCAAGAAATAATACTTTAAAATTTAACAGTGATCTGTTCAAGATTTGGCATTCTTAGTAATATCATTGTGAGGTAGTACGAAGAGAATTTTATCCATGGGCCATAATTTACAAAACGTATTTACTTTTGTTTTCAAAAACAATATTTATATAATTAAGATATTTATGTGTAACATGCAACAGTGGCTGTAAACCATATTTTGAATACTAATTCTTTATGAAGTATCCATATTTGAAATTTTTGATTGAGTCTGATATAATTGATTGTTTCATGAGATTGGTATTTCTTGTTACAGGTTATATGCAGGCCCAGAAGTAGACATATGGAGCAGTGGTGTTATTCTCTATGCTTTATTATGTGGAACCCTTCCATTTGATGATGATCATGTGCCAACTCTTTTTAAGAAGATATGTGATGGGATTTTTTATACCCCTCAGTATTTAAATCCTTCTGTGATTAGCCTTCTGAAACATATGCTGCAGGTAGATCCAATGAAGAGGGCCACAATAAAAGATATCAGGTAATAAATCAATTTGGAAATTATCAGATCTCATAATAGTAGTGTGATATAAGTGACAGAAAAATTGTAGAACTGACTATACAGTGCAATCCTGTTTTTGGTTGAAAAAATATAGTATAGGAACACATTTGTTTGTTTTACTTTGGTATTAAAATATACTAAACTGATTATGGAAGTAAAGTAGGAGGGAGGCCTTGTATATTTTACTTATGCAGCCTTGTTTGGAAATTCTTACAGTAACCATTATATTACTTTATTTATTGTCATCTATTTTTTGCAGTACTGGGGATTGAACCTAGGGCCTCATGCATGCTAGGTAAGCACTCTACCACTGGGCTCCATTTTTAGCTAATAAATTTAAAATTGCTATTGATGGGTTGGGGGTGTACAGTGGTTGAATGCTACGTAGCTTTCAGAAGATCCTGGGTTTGATACCTTACATTGCAAAAAATAAACGAAAAACACTAAAAAAGCTAATGAAAAATAAAAAGGATCCTCATATGATGTTGTCTTGGTTACTTTCTTGTTGCTGGGACAAAATTCCTGATAGTCATAAGTTAGAGGAGGAAATGTTTATTTTAGATCATAGTTTGTAGAGGTTTTAGTCCATAGTTGGCTGGCTCCATGGCAGGGTGGTGTGGCAGAGGGATATCACAGAGGACAGTTGATGGCATGGCAAGCAGGAAGGCAGCAAGTAACACGCCTGTCTTCTTTCTGTCCCTTTATAGTCTCTCCGGGTTATAAATTTGATTGGTTCCACCCACGTCCAGGGTGGGGCTTCCATTATCCACACCACTATGCTAACCCAATTAGTTATCATACATCCTTAACCCATATTTACACACCCTAGATCCAGCCACCTCTGTAAAGCCCCACCTATGAGCATGAGGCTTTGGTGGGATATCTAAATACAAGCCATAACAAATGTTAATAAAATTTTATAGTAGGTCTTTAGGATTTTCTATTGTATGCTTCACATTTCTTTTTTTTTTTTTTTTTTTTTTTTTTTTTTTTTGGTTTTCTCCGGTATTGGGAACCGAACTCACAACCTTGCGCTTGCCAGGCAGGCGCTTTTGCTGCTGAGCTAAATCCCCAACCCCTCAGATTTCATTTTAATGCAGTCTCATTAGGATAACTTCATAGTAGTAAATTTCTGATGCTCTTCAAGTTCTGATCTCATTAATTGTTTTTTTTCCCTATGTTTTTTTTCTTTTTAACTTCAAGGAATGAGAAAATTTTAATCAGTGACATGTTTCTCTTAGTATATCTGAATCACATGAAATTGCTGTTTTGTAGGTAGATGTTGCATTTCATATGGTTCAACCTAATAGTTTAATTAAGACAGAAATGATGGTGACACATGTACTTCTAAAATTTAGGTGAGCTATTTCTGACGAAGACTTAAAAATACTCACCTTATGTGTTTTCTACTGTCATTTCCTTTCTCCTCACCTTTTAGAAATTCTCTTTTGGCTTTTTAATGGTTAGATTGCAAGTTTCTCTGCAATGGAGGGAAAAAGAAGAAAGAAACCATCTAGATACAGGAATAGTAAATGATTAGCATTATCAAGAAGAGAATTCAAACCTTGGTTGCTTTCTACTTGTGTGATGAAAGACTAGCTAAAATAGAGCCTCTAAATGTGAGGGCATGAAAATCATTCCCTAAAATGTATATTGTAAAATAACTGTCAAATGTATTTGCTTGTGTTTTACATTTTTTCCCATTAAAATGTAATATATGACAACTGGGAAAGACTTAGAAAAATACCAGCAAGAGAAAGTAATCATTGTTCTTTTGTGCTTTCCTCTTGATTTTTTTTTTTCTTTTACCTTTAGAACTCAGGTTTTTGACACTGCTAACATCAAATACAGCCCTTTATATCTGAAGTTGGGGGACTGGAGAAGGGAATTAGGGTATGACCTTTGAGCCACAAAGAGTTGGATTGCAAATCCTGGCTCTGCCTCTTACTTTGTGACCTTGTGCAAACTCCCTGATGTGCCTGAACCTTGATTCTTTTTTTATTTATATATATAATCTTTTAAAAATTTTATTTTAAAAGAAGAAAAAAACTCAAAAAGGCAAAAACAAAACATTGAACCTTTATTCTTTCATTTAAAACATGGGGATGTTATTATCATCTATGAATGTTTCACTGATGAAGGGAAAGTACATATGAATTACTTAGCATAAATCTTTGGAGGACTCAGTGAATGCTACATGTTTACTGTTTTTGTTATTAGGTTCTTTTCACTTAACATTATATCAAGAGCACTGAAGCCACACAATGGGTTTTTTTTTTTTTTGAGCCGGAAATAAACTGCACTTTGTCATTGTTATTTATTTCACAACTTTAAATATAAATGTAGACTTTTCCTTTGCTACATCAGTCCTTAAAATCAGAGAGAATCTGGAGCATTTTCAATATGTACAATGAAAAATCCTTGTTTGAAAAATGATAGTAATAACACAGTATGGGTATAAATATAAATGAATCCATGTCTTTGTTTTTATTTTTGTTTTTCTTTTGGTACCAGGAATCGAACTCATGACCTTGCACTTGCCAGGCAGGCGCTGTGCTGCTGATCTAAATCCCCAGCTCCTCCATGTCTTACATTCCTCGAATTTGTTACTTTCTGTCCTTATTCTGCTTAAAATTCTCCTGACCTAACCATTTTCTCTCAGGGAACATGAATGGTTTAAACAGGACCTTCCAAAATACCTCTTTCCTGAGGATCCATCATATAGCTCAACCATGATTGATGATGAAGCCTTAAAAGAAGTGTGTGAAAAATTTGAATGTTCAGAAGAGGAGGTTCTCAGCTGCCTTTATAATAGAAATCACCAGGACCCTTTGGCAGTTGCCTACCACCTCATAATAGATAACAGGAGAATAATGAATGAAGCTAAAGATTTCTACTTGGCAACAAGCCCGCCTGATTCTTTTCTTGATGATCACCATTTAACTCGCCCCCATCCCGAAAGAGTACCATTCTTGGTTGCTGAAATGCCAAGAACACGACATACCCTTGATGAATTAAATCCACAGAAATCCAAGCACCAAGGTGTAAGGAAAGCAAAATGGCATTTGGGAATTAGAAGTCAAAGTCGGCCAAATGACATCATGGCAGAAGTATGCAGAGCAATTAAACAACTGGATTATGAGTGGAAGGTAAGAAAGAGCATTCTGAACATTAACACATTTGCCAAACCTGTAATCTAGACAATTTTTATAGAAGAACTGATTTGGCTTTGTTTCTGTTTATATCATATGCTAGGTTGTAAACCCGTATTACTTGCGTGTGCGAAGGAAGAATCCTGTGACGAGCACATACTCCAAAATGAGTCTGCAGTTATACCAAGTGGATAGTAGAACTTACTTACTGGATTTCCGAAGTATTGATGGTATGTACATGTCAGACTTTTGATACTGAACATGGCCTGTTAATCTTCCTTTTGAAGCTTCTTGACTTCTTCCTAGTAATTCAATAGCAAAGGAATAGGAAACTTGAGTTTTTGTGCCTTTGTGATACTAACATTTATAAGTCTTACTGTTCTTATAACTTTATTGTGTGTTGGCCTTTGCATATTACTGTCTTTTTAAATCCTTCAAGACAAAGTATAGTTTGGTACTAAAGTGATAGTTTTATGCTTCATTTCTGTGTTTTTGTGAGATTCATTTTGGTAATATAAGATGTTTTACTATTTAGAAATAAATGTTGATGTTTACATTTTTATTTATGACTAATTTTTAAAATAAACACAAGATTATGGCTAGTTTTCGTTGGACAGATCAGTTAAGAGATGGTGCCATCATTGTTTATGGAAGATTATGCAGAATTATAACTAAGATTCATATATGAATTTTTTCCTTCTTCACAAACTCAAAGATAGTACATATATGCCATCAAACAATTTTTTTTTGTCTTTTTGAGACAGGGTTACGCTGTGTAGTTCAGGCTGGCCTTGAGCTTACTTTGGAGCCCAGGCTGGTCTCATACTCGCAACGACCCTCCTGCCTCAGCCTCCTGAGTGCTGGGATTACAGGTGTGCGCCACCACGCCCAGCTCCATCAGACAGATTTAAACTATAATGTGCTGACCAAAACTGAATGTCTGGTTATCTTTATGTTCAGGTACTGTGTATCTGCTAACACATACTTACATAGTTTGAGATAATGAGTTTTATTTTTCTCATTGTATTTGGATTAAGTTTGCAATCTTATTATTATTGGCACCAAGGTTTGCCAATTGAATGGCCATTTGCTTTTTTTTGTATTCTGTTCCCAACTAGTTTTTTTTTTTTATTTTGATTATTGGAATTGTTGTCCCTTATGAGATCTTAAAAGAAATATCATGTGAAAATGAAGAGTGAAAACCACTAAGCAGAAGTTAGGAGTTGGGTTCTAGATTTACCTTTACCTTTCTGTTTCCATGGATAAATTACTTAGCTTCTCTGGATTCTTTCATATAAATAAAATAAGCTTGGATGATGTAATTTCCATGACACCTTCCACATTTCAGGTGAGTTGATTCTGTGACTTTAATATGGAAGGATTAATTTTTATGACTAAAGAACATTTATTAAACTCCAGGTTATTAGCTTACTAGGCTTTCAATCTTTCATTGAAAGATGGATGTGGGGCTGGGAGACTTAGCTCAGCGGCAAAAGCGCCTGCCTGGCAAGCACAAGGTCTTGAGTTCGGTTCCCGGTACCGGAGAAAAAACCAAAAAAAAAAAAAAGAAAGATGGATGAATAGCTGTGCTGTGCACCAAACCTTAATTAGCCATTGCAAAAATACATGCTATGTGTTCAGAGTTGAGTAGTTTAACACAGCCGTGTGGCCTCAATTTAGAAGGTATTTATGTTTTGGACAGCTGGTCAGTAGTCTCACCTAAATCAACAATATCAATATTGTGAAAAAATTGTGAGGAGGTTATAGATTATAATAAATTGAAATTCTTTTTGTCCAGATGAAATTACAGAAGCCAAATCAGGTACTGCTACTCCACAGAGATCGGGATCAGTTAGCAACTATCGATCTTGCCAAAGGAATGACTCGGATGCTGAGGCTCAAGGAAAATCCTCAGAAGTTTCTCTTACCTCATCTGTAACTTCACTCGATTCTTCTCCTGTTGACTTAACTCCAAGGCCTGGAAGTCATACAATAGAATTTTTTGAAATGTGTGCAAATCTAATTAAAATTCTTGCACAATAAACCTGAAACTTTGCTTATTTCTTTGATAGCAATAAGCATGCATAATAAATAATAGCCAAATGCTTACATGTATAATCGAGTTATAGATATATACATAATTATAACTGAGGATTGGCCTTCTGGAATGCAATTTGCACAGGAGTTGGAAAATGATTAATAATTAAAAGCCTAATATGCATAAATAAATTAAGATCATTTTGTTGTTATTGTTCACAGGCATATAGCATAATATAATACAAACAATGAATTAGGTCTCAGGCTCTCTTGATTTTCAGCTGTTTTCTATTTAGTGTATACAGGGCTTTGTAGAATATTAATTTACCATAAAGGCCTTTATATATGTTGTGTTCTATATTTGCTTTGTAAATTTACTCAGTATTGCCTAGAATTCCTCTAGACCTTTATAGGTGATATTATCTTCTGGGCTTCTTAAATCAAATAGCTAGTATTTTCCAATAGCAGTAACAGTCTGGATAACTTCTTTCATGTCCTCCTCTTAAAATTCTATACTATATGATAAATTGTGTCAGGTATTAAACTCAATTTAAAGTTTTTCTTTAGTTGGGTAAGTCCAAAACACAGAATTTATATATTCATATACTCTCCACACTGTTTATCTTATAATTTGTCCCCCATACTCTGTAAAGTGGTCTGTGTCAAGAGCTGAGTTGCATATAATGTATATAAATCATGTTTCTGTAATTTCACAAATTCTGGCTCATGTTGTCAGCCAGTATTGAATGTATGCAAACATCTGTAGTAATTTGATTATGGACCTTTTAATTGATTCAGTGCATAGAAAGAACAGGTGTTACCAACTATAAATGCCTAGCTGGACCCTTCCCTCTGTGAACTTTTTTAAAAAGAAAAATTGAAAGACTATAGAGTAATCCTATGTATCTAAATTAGATTTCTTTAACATTTTGCCATTTTTTCTGTCTATACCCAGATATATATATATATAGTTATGCATATGTATTTGTGTGTGTATATGCCTGTTTTCTGAACTACTTGGATGTTACATTTATCATCCCTAACTACTTTAAGTGTCTTCTTAAAGTAATGAGTCTCCTAAGAAAACTACCATAAGTTCATTATAAGTTTAGTAACTTCCTATGATCTGATATTCATGCCATGTTTAGATTTCCCTATTTATCCTCCAAATTGCTTTTACAGCTGATTATTTCAAACCAGGATCCAATTAAAGTTTACACATTGGATTTTGTTAAATCTCTTTAGTCAGATATAACATTATTTTGGTAAAATGCAGAACAAATCACAGTTCTTCTGAATGGCCAAATTTGTTTTGTGTTTTAATTATTTAAAAAACTTAGCATTATGGGAACTGTCTAAAGATGTTTAATCTAAGATCTCTCACATATTTTTTTACTCAGTAATAAAATCACATAAGTGTAAATGAAAACTTTAAAGTCACCTCAGATAAAATTGATATCATGTGTATGCTGATAAATAAATATTGTATTGTCCACATTTGCCTAATATTATTTTTTTGGACACAGGGGCTCACTATGTAGTTCAGGCTGGCCTTGAACTTGCAGCGATCCTCCTGCCTCAGTCTCTCAAGTGCTGGGATGACAGGCATATGCCACTACTTCTGGCTGCCTAATATTATTTTAACTTAAAGAAATGGGGCTAGGGATGTAGCTCAGTGCTTGCCTAGCATATACAAGGTCCTGGGTTTTATTCCAGCACAGAAAAAATAATTATTTTTATTTTGGTGTGTGTTAGTCATTTTCTGTTGTAAGAGATTTTTATTTTTATTGTGTTAGGATGGTCTTGTCAAATATAGGGAGCACTTATGTAACCAGATGATAATGGTAGCTTGCATAAATGGTTACTTGAGTTTATGGTGACTCCAGTACCTCTATACTAATGCACTGAATTTAAAACAAAAATCGTGATTCTTTTTGTCCAGGGCTTGTTCTATTGAACTACATAACTGAATGCTGTTATAAAGTACTAGATGTTTTATCTACATATGAGCAGAAGACTGTATTTGTAACTGTGTGATCCCTTGATGGGGATATTGGTTTCACTTAGGCTGTCTAAATGCAGCATTATGTTCCTGATGTTAAGAACAGAAGACTGTATTTTTAAAGTTACAGATTTGTATATAGAACTAAGTATCTTTATGAACTGTTCCGGCAGGATTGACAAAAGAAGGAACCAATTAACTAGGACCCTCTAAAATTGTTAATTTTGTAAACTTTGCTTCTTTTATAAGTTATTGTGATTCTCTTTAGTTACTGAGTTTTATTTTGAAGGTATTCAAATATTGCACTTATACAAAGAGTTTGATAATTGCAGACTACTGCAGTACATTCTTTTTTAAGCTAGGATATTTGAAATGATCACTTTGGTCAAGTATGTCAAGGTTGCAACAGAATTTTCACAAACTGTAATTTGCAAATTCTTACTAATACTGAAGATGTAAGGGGAGTCACTATAATGATTTTTAATCTTTTTTATTATCTTTTTCAGCAATTTATATTTTTTGTGATTTTATGCAACCATATTTTTACTTTGTCTTGACAACTGAAAGATGTATAAGGTTTTTGCCAGAAATGTACTGTAGACACAGTTTTAAATATAACAGATTTTACTGATATGTAAAAATTTTGCCATTAAAACTGATTTCTCACTGAGAGGAACTTTTCTACCAGGTTGGGGCATATTATGGGAGCTTAATATATCTAATTTAAAATAATTTCACTGAAGTAAACATTATTGCTTTTACTTTGATTATATTTTTTCTTAAAATGCTTTTGTAGTATTTTCAGAGTATTAGATAATTTTATATGAAATTCTCCCCTCCCCCCCCCAGCTGTGGTGCCATTTTTGATTTTGTGATGATACTGTTCACAATTAATGCATGGTGGGCTGTGGCTAGATGTGGGTCCGTGCATCTATTTTCCAAGTGGCACCTTTGGAATTAAAGAAAAATGTGTGGTGTCTAAAAAGTTTTTTCTTCTCCTCTACCTCCCCGCCCAAAATATAAATCTCACTTCCATGGTGCATTCTCCTGACAAGATGAGATTCCACATACGGTGAAATTGTAAGTTGCTGGTAGAGTAGAAATCAATCTTTGTGGTTTATGTATGTTTTGACTGGAGTACACAATTTCAAGTACCTTAATTCAGAAAGATGGCATAATAAAAACTTCATTTTTCATTTTGGTGTAATGTCTTTCTCTGTTTAACCTCTGGGAAAACTAAATAGCAACTGCGGATGGGGTTGTTCATGGCTGAATGTATTTTTACCTTTCTTAACAATATACCTAAGAATATAGTGGTTGACCAAATTTTATTTATTTTTTATTTTTTAGTCTTTTTGAGACAAGGTTTCACTATGCAGTTGAGGCTGGCCTTGAACTTGGCAGCAGTCCTGCCTCAGCCTCCCAAATGCTGGGCTTACAGGCGTAAGCCACTATGCCTGGCTTTTGACCACATTTGAGTACTCAAAATACTGTTTTTATCTCAACTAAATTCGTTTTAATTCCATCTAGAAATCAAGCATCTAAACAAAAATATTCACAGGTATTATAAAAAAACAAAAAGTAGGTACTGTTTATCAGTAGCTAACAGTGGATTTGCTTAGAATCCTGCCTGTATCAGTCACTTTCCTTTCACTGGGACAAAATACCCATATCTGCAACATAAAGGAAGAGAGGTTTAATTTAGCTCAGTTTCAGGGGATTCAGCCCAGGTCCATTGGTTACAAGGCAGAAACGTGGTGTAGCAAAGCTTCTTAGTTCATGGTGGCTTCAAAGCAGAAGCAAACAGTGCAGAGAGGAAACGAGACCAGCTACAGACTCCAAGGCCATGCCCTTGTGACCCCCCCAGACACACCCAGCACTGTGTCCCAATCCTCCAGGTGGATCCCAAAGCCCCTCCAACGGACTCTCCATGCTAACTACCACAGTCACACCACTGCAGTTAGACTTCAGTACTAAATCTTTAATCTACGAACCAGTATTGGGTAGGACTTTTGCTATATCTTTGGCATTCTAAGTCTTTAAAACGACAGTACGGCTAAAGAGTGGTACAAATAGAATAGGTTTTTCTTCTGAGGAACACCATCACGGGTATTTCCTTTGTATGAATTTGTACACAAAATTGTTTTATTTGAAAAAAGTACCTGTTGAACTGTTCTACTTATTGTAAAAGAATGAACTTTTATTCATTGTAAATGCCAACAATGATATATTTAGAATATTTTACCAATTTGGGAGATGTTCATGTCAAAGAACAGCACAGGAATGTATTACATAGAACCACAGGTTAATCTGTGATCACATAAGGAAAAAAAGTGGTGGGTGAAGTGTAAAACTTCACGGGAGGAAACCTTTAATGGAGTAGAGGGGATCAAGTTTAAATTAGTCCAGAGATTTAGGGAAGAATCCTAGAAAAGGGACACAGCCTAAAGCAACAGTTACTCATTTTAAACTATGCTCTTTTTGTTCGTTTGTTTGAGACAGGGTCTCGCTATGTAGTTCAGGCTGGTCTTGAGCTCACGTTGTAGCCCTGGCTGGTCTTGAACTCCCAAAGATCCTACTGCCTCAGCCTCCCCAGTGCTAGGAGTACAGGCGTGCGCCACCATGCCCGGCCCTAAACTATGCTCTCACATGCCTGCTACGAAAGCACTATTTGCAGAAAAGTGCACAAATCCTAAGTACAGTATTTGGCTCTGAATTTTTAATGGTTCAGGTTTACATGGGCTTTGTAGACCTCTATCCAGATTATGAAACACTGTCATCACCTTAGTGCCTTTTATAATGTAAGTCATACCACTTCTGTTCTGTTCCCTAAGTAGTGTGGTACAACATGGGCAGCAACTGCACAAGAGGATGAATGCCCGGAGGCGGGGTCGCTGGATGCTGGCTCCCAAACCATTTTGATTATTTTGAAAACACTGGTTCCCACAGCTGCGTGTGGTAGTGCGCGCGGGTAAGGTAATCCCAGCACTCGGGCGGCTGCGGTAGGGGCACTGCTGAGACTTCGAGGCCAGCATAGGCTACGCTGTGTTTAAGGCCAGTCGGAGCGACATATGGAGACCTTGTCTCAAAAAACCAACCAAACAAAAGAACCCCCCAAACTGGGTCACTTAGCTCTTACAAATGTTAGTGCGTGTTTCATCAGACTATGACGAATCACACCTGACAATCAATATCATTATTAACTGCAAGTATTGGGCAGCGGTTAACATCATTATCATTATGGTGAGTACAATTTTTCCAGAACCGTAACATCTTAAAATCTTCAGTTTTATCTTGGTAACACACTACCGATTGTTTCTTGAAGAAACAGTCTCTCTTTACTCGCTTCAAGGCAGGGCCTGGCAAATGCGCAAGTCTGAATAACTGGTTTCTAGGTCCTAAATAAACGCTCCAGGGAGAAAGCACGTGCTTCAGTTTGTGACGGGCCGCACATGTGCGTTTCCGGGAGACAGGCCCTCCGGGACGCAGCAGACGCACTTTCTGAGGACTCTACGCTCTCACCCCCAGGACAGCCCTTCTCCCCAGCACGGAACTACCCCGGCGCGCACGTCCATCGGCGCGCCGCTCTGCGACCAGGCTCGGGGCTTCCCCTTGCACAGCGGCTGCACGAATAGTTACGACGCTTAACGTTTCTGTCTCCTAAACACACACCTGGATTAACATTTGCCCGCCTGGTGTCAAGACTCGACCTACGGCCGCTCTCAGGTCGTAATTCCCTCCCCTGGGTCCAGCGAATTTGTTAATTACCCCCTGCAGCCCACAGTTCAGCCACGACCTTCCTGTTTCAAACCTTTCTCCATCCAGTTTTAACTGCGCGCATCGGGTTGGCCTCGCTGACTAACCGCTAAACCCCTCTGGTGCGGCACTCCTTGCTAATCCTTTGGACGCTCCACGCCGGCATCCCCAACCCGGCCCGCCTCGTTTTACCACAGGCTTACACCCCACCGTACGCGGCGCCGGCTCCGCAGTCCGCGCAGCCGCACTTCCCGCGCTGCGCCAAGGCGGCGCCCGCGCGCTTTTCGCTTCTGGCGCTCGTTGGCGTGCAGTCCGGGCCGAGTGGCCGCGACTACAAGTCCCAGAAGGCAATGCGGTGGGGCACCGCAATACTTCTGGGATGTGTGGTCCTGGAGCGAGCACTGTCGGGTGAGGAACGCTCTGAACCCTCCATTCTTCTACCCACTTCCTCTGGGCTGTTCGGACGCCTCCATGTGGCTCCCCTGTTTCTCAGGAGACCGGCAGCAAACACAGGATGGTGTTGTAATAAGTCAGGAGTGATTTCCGCTTCCGGTGACCAAAGGGCAAGCGGAATGTAAACACTGAGCCACCGGGTAGCAGGTCTCTGTGGCTGGCGCGTCTGCGCTGGAAGCCAGAGAGGAGGAGGGGAAGGAGGCGCTGGGTGTTGTGGCGAGAAAAGCAAGGAGCTTTAGAGGCCTGAGAGAGCCGGGTGCTGAGGTTGGTCTCTGGAGACGAGCGCGTCTGCGGTCGGGCCCACCCTTGCATCGCCGCCGCGAGTTTGCTTTGCTTTGCGCGGAGGGGAGGGCGAGGCCAGTCGCTGCGCTCGCAGGGGGCGTCCGGGGCGGCCTTTATGAGCTTTGACCTTACGAACGCTTTTACTGTTGTTGGCTGGTGGAGAGAAGGGCCCGCACTGGTTTCTCTTGCGGTGGCATTGCTGGGGGTTTCTTCGGTTCTTCACCTCCGAAGCATCTCTTTACCCAGAAGGCCTTGCAGTGGTTTTTCGCCTTGCATGTTGCATCCTCAGACGCAGTCAGGAGAAGCAAGGCGTTTTACCCTGCAAAAGCACACGACAGCTTGTTGCTGGGTAAAATGTCAGGCATCGATTTATCGATTGCCTACCGTAGAGATTAATGTACCAATACGGGAATTTGGAATACGACGTCATTGTTTAGAAGTTTTTTTTTTGGCTCTCATCAATATAATTGTGTAGAAAGTGTTGGATTTGTTTGGTTTCACGAATTTAATGTGAAACCTGTATGATTGTGTTACGTTTTCTTATCCTGGTGAAAAGTTAAGGGTAGGATGTTGGTGTCTTGTGTATCTAATTATAGATTTAGGAAAGCTTCTTTTAAACAAATTTTAATTTTGTGTTCAGATAAAATTAATCTCAGACAATGAACTCATACCACTTTTATATTTTTTAAAAAGCTTTATTGAAATGTAATTGACGTGTCATAGAATTCAATCTTTTAAAGTGTACAGTTCATTCGCTCTTAGTATGTTCGCAGAGTGGTGTCACTGTCATGAGTAAAGAGTGTTTTACTCGCCCAAGAGACTCCCAGACCGCTAATAGTTATTCTCCACTCTCTCCTCTGCACCATTTAAGCTATCTGAATCAAGTCAGCATTAAATTTTCCTTGGGGGAAGTTTTGTATATATTCTTTAAGCCTCATTAACTTTTATTCACTAAAATTTAAGTCCTTTGTAGCGCCTAAAATGTCCATTCTGAGACACAGAATCCTTTGATTACTCTTGTAGTACTTACACTGTGGTATAATTGACTGTACTGTCGTCTCCAGACAGTTTTGAGTATAAAATTGTAAATGGCATTGGTAACAGATTTATGCTTTTAATCTCAGTAGGCCCTTGATACCGTTTGCAGTCTCTACTCCTTGCTTATTGTTTGCATGTTTCCTGATCTCTGTGGTGACTTTCATATTTTTTTTTTTCATTTTTTCTCAGGTACTCAGATCCATTTATTTTTCCTTTACTTTGAACAGATGACTGCTTTCTATTTCCCTGAGGAATATGTGGCTTTGGGGCCTGAAATCCCTCACTTTGTTTCCTTCCATCCTTGACCTTTCCTATACTTTTCACTCTGTATTAACTTCTGTTTTGTCTGCAAGGAATCTATTCTTGACCTTTACTTCAAGTGAAACGTCAGTTTCTTGTGTGATCAGGCCAGGTGTACCTTTACAGCTTTATTCTGTCCTGGCCTCTGCACTCTGATCTCAAGGAATTTTGGGGCCTGAGGGTGGAAGGTGGCAGGGAGATAATGACACACCTGAAGCAACAGTTTGTGGTTTTTTTTATTCATGGTTGATGGCCATATCTTAAGCAGTTATAACAGTGGTTTAGGTTGCAAGAGAGGCAGGCGTAGTGGGAGTCTGAATAACCTGTTAATTTTTAAAAAATACATATCTGATGTTTGTATTCCTCTCCATCCTAACCCCTGCTTCTAATAATCAACAGACATGTCCGTGATTTCGGATGTAATTTGCCTTCAGTAAATACCCCAGGCTTCTCTTTCTATTAATAGAGCTATTACACTGCCTGGTGTTCCAGGTTGCTAATATAGAAACAAAGTTCGGTTTGGAAACTTGAAGCCATAGAATTTAGTTGTTATTCTTGTTACCTTTAGTGACAGCAATAAATACAAGATTTCTTCTTAATCATGTCTTACCTGATACCCTGGGAGGCTTTTGTAAGATACAGTCTTCCAAGTTGTCTTCAGTCTGTGTCTCTGCAGTTGTGGTCCATTGTCCACCCTTCCATTTTCACCCATTTCTCAGTGCTTCCCTTCGGATACATGTAGTTATCCACAGAGGAAACTCATTCCCCCATGTTATGACAGGTCTGGGGAGTTTGCATTATCCTAGTTCCTTAATACAATTTATAATTAGTTACATTTCCAGGTTTTACTAAAACGTACTGCTCCCATGGAAAGCATCTGCTTTACTTGTATTAGATTATATATTGCTTTTACTTTTCTCTTGTTCTTTTTCATAAGGAGTAAAAGTTTATTTTGGTTCATGGTTGGCTCAGGCCCCTCTGGGGCCTGTCCTGAAGTGGTATATTATGATAACCAGAAGGCTTGGAGGAGTAGTCTCTTACCTTATGGTAGCCAAGGAAGCAAAGAGAGAAAGGAGGAGCTATGATCCCAATATTCTCTTTGAGGGCATATCGGCAATGGTCTGGCTGCCTCCCCCTCAATTCCACCTCTGAAAGGTTTCACTACCTTCCCCTAATGCCACAGGCTGGTGACCAAGTCTTTAACACATTTAACCTGTTTCTTGAGTCCTGTGATTTATTGGTACTTGGTCTTATTCTTTAGAACGTAGGTCCCATGATACACAGTTTTCTTCACTTTCCATATCCCACTGTTATTTTGAGCTTTTCCATGTGGATGATCTCACGGCCACTTCTATTTTTTACTTTTTAAAATTTTTTGTCTTTTTGAGACAGAGTTTCACTATGCAGTTTAGGCTGGCCTTGAACTTGAAGCAGTCCTCTTGCCTCAGCCTCCCAAGTGCTGAGATTACAGGCATGTGCCACCACATCCGACCTTCTGTTTTTTCGTTCCTTTCCTTCCAGTTCTATGTATTTGACTTCAGTCACATATGTCAGTGATAAAGACCTTGATATCTAGGCTGGGTATGGTGATGCATACCTGTAATTTCAGCATTTAAGAAGCTGAGGCAGGAGAACTACTGTAAGTTAGAGGCCAGCCTGGGCTACATAGCAAGACCCATTCTCAAAAAACAAACAAGCCCCCCAAAACCTTGATATTTGTTGGAACATTTTTACTATTTCATTTTTCTCTTTCCCTTACTCATAATGCTCATTCTTTGATAGTTCCAAAAAGGTCTCTCTGGTTCATTGTTTGTTTGAAGACAGGTTCTCACTGTGTAGTTCACACATGTCTTGAACTTGCTCATGTTGCCCAGGGAAGCCTCAAACTCTTGGCGACCCTCCTGCCTTAGCCTGCCAACTGCTGGGATCACAGGCGTGCACCGTTACACCCCACAAAATCATTGGAGTGGTTCCTTTTTTTTGCCGTTAAGTTGGCCACTCAGTTTACCATGTTCTCCTTGGGATTACAGTCTCTTTTAAGAATGGGACAAAAGCTTAGATATTCTCTCCAAAATGCTCACAGAATATAAAACATTTATAAACAGTTTTAATCATGCTGCAGTATTCTGAAGTCCATCTATGCAACTAGTAAATTCTTGGGTCCATCAGTTAATCCCTTCTCTAAATAAATGTTAGTTAAATACTTCCAGCATTTTCTTTAATTTGGTTCTATCACTTACCCTTTTTTATTGTTATTTACTTTTGTATATTATTACAGATTTACCAAGCAGTTTAACATCTCTTATTTTTTGATTTACCTAGTAGTTCTGTGAATTAAGTCACTTATCAGGCTTACATCTTCTAAAGTTTTTTTTTTATTTTTTTTAAATTATGGAAGGTTTCAACAAGGGAAAGAGAACTACAATGAATTATATATACGCATCTCTCAGTTTCATCTGTTACCAGTTTAATCTTTTTTCATCAGTTTCTACTCCTCTACTGTGCTCTCCACCCTTATAACTTTGAAACAATTCCTAGGTATTTTCATGATGAAACATTTCAGTATGTTTCTAAAAGGCAAGTTTTTGTTTAGGGTTTATGAGTTAGTGTTTTTTTTTTATTAGTGCATATTAATAGTACAGAGTAATTGACTTCATTGTGGCATATTCATACATCGATATCTACCCCTATTATCCTCTGGTACCCTCTTTTCCTCCCTCCCCTGTTTTTCTTTCATCTTCCCTAATAGGCTCAGAAAAGAGTTCCTTTTATGAACAGTCATAGTTCTATGATCATGCCAAAAATATCACAGTAATGTCTTAGTATTGTCAAATAGCAAATCAGTGTTCTGATTTTGCTTCTTCATAAATGCTTTATCATCATTGGCTTTTTTGAATTGAGACTGAAACAAGAGCTCCACATTGTGTTTGGTTAGTTTTTCTCTTAAATCTCTCTCTCTCTTCTTTTTTTTTTTTTTTCTTCTGGTACTGGGAATTGAACTCACGACCTTGTGCTTGCCAGCAGGCACTGTGCTGCTGAGCTAAGTCCCCAGCCCCTCTTAAGTCTCTCTTAATCTAGAAGATTTTGTGTTTCTTCTCATTCCCCCCTCTTTCTATAGCAGTTTATTTCATGAGGAAGCCAGTTTTATTTTTCTTTAATTTTCTACTGCCTGCATCTCTGAAATGTTTTTGTGCATGCTTAACCAGTATTTCTTGTAAACTGGTAGAGGCCTGATCTGATTTGGGACTATTTTCGAGGTACTTTGTGATGGTGTGCTACTTCTCTCAGGAGGTGCAGTAATGTGTAATGTCCAGTGGTCTTTGTGATTTAGTAGCACTATAATTGCCTAGGTCCATTAACTAGTGGTTAAAAAATGGTGATAGTCTTATCCGTTATTCCTTACTCACCTATTAGTTCATTTATTTATACTTTTATAAAAGGCCAAATTGAATTTCTTTGTAATTTTCCAGAATGGCTTCCTTTGGGTGGAAGAGGAAGATTGGTGAGAAGGTCTCCAAGGCCACTTCCCAGCAGTTTGAAGCTGAAGCTGCTGATGAGAAGGATGTGGTTGAGAACGACGATGGGAACTGGCTTCACGCCATTAAACGCAGGAAGGAAGTTCTCCTGGAAGGCTGTGCTGAGAAAAGTAAACAGTTAAAGGATGAAGGGGCCAGTTTGGCTGAAAATAAAAGGTATGGTTTTATAGGTTTTTTGTGGGGAATAGTTTACATTTTTGTATCATTGTCATTAATGGTATAAAGAGTAATGAACTAAATTCATGTTTTAAAAAATCTGGTGTAGGTGCTAAACTGGTAAAGATATTTTAAAGTGACTTGAAAATTCCCATTTTCAGGGAAAATGAAAGTTTAGAGGGGCTGGGGATTTAGCTCAGTGGCAAAGCGCCTGCCTGGCAAGCGCAAGGTCGTGAGTTCGGTTCCTGGTACCGGAGAAAAACCAAAAAAAAAAAAAGTTTAGAAAATAGTCTTCTAGATCCTTATAACATCTCTAGTTTATTTTCATTTTTGTTCAGTTTAAACAAGAGTAAATGCTACGTGAAATATAAACCATCTTAGTGGTTACTGGAGGGTGGTTTTATCTCTGGAAACTGCTAATGATGTTATATGACATAAATTAAGCATTTCCTGAGCTGTTTTGAGGGCATATGCACTTTAAAAATTAGCCTAGTTATCCTTTGCTATTTACTGCTTATATACATTAGTAAATAAGTTAAATTATCAGGTAATTTGACAATAACTTCATTTATTCATTATCCTTCCTTTGGTAAGCTCTTAAACTTCTGTATATACCTGGTTCTTTTCCCTTTTGTTTCTTTCCTCTATTTCTAATGTTTTAAATCCCCTTTTACCTTCCTGTACTTAGCTTTGGATGATACTGAAAATCTTTCTGCCACAAAGCAGTAGAGAAAAGGCAAATTGTTCAGTATATTATGTTGTGAAAACTGGATTACTGTGTAGAGGAAAGTAAAACTGGATCTGTACTAATACCACATATGAAGATTGGGTCTAGAGAGATTAAAGATCTAAATGTAAAAGGTAAAATTGTACCATTACTAGAAGAAAATACTGAAGAGTACCTTTATAACCTATGGTGGGGAAGGACTTTACAAATTTGTATTATTATGTTCTTTATGTTTCTTCATATTGGGAGGTAATGTTAGAGCACCTTCTATGGAGCAACCATTGGAAAGACATGGTACCTATGTCTGTTTGCTGTGTTTGATATCTGTTTTCTTGGTTACTTTTCTCTCTCATTGCTGAGACAAAATACCTGACTCCCAAAATTAAGGAAGGAAAGGTTTATGTAGCTCACAGTTTGTAGAGGTTTCAGTCTGTAATCAGCTGGCTCCAAGGCAGAGTGGCATGGCACAGGGGCAACAGTTCAAACTGGCATGAGACAGCAAAAGCAGTAGTAGTGCAAGAGGGGAGAAGCCTCTTTTCTTCACTTATATTGTAAGCCGGCTGCCAGCCCCTAGGGTGTGTGTAGCGCTCACTCAGTGCCTATACTCTTCTGTTGCACAGGATGAGGATGTTTACAAAGTGAGGACCCTGGCTCCCTGCTGAGTCTCTTAGTTAAACTTCTAAACTTCTCAAGTTGACACGATGTATCAACCATTACTGGAGAGCTGGGGATATAGCTCAGTGATAAAGCTCTTTCCTAGCATATGTGAAGGCCTCACCACTGCCAAAAAAATACCAAAAAACAAAATAACACACCCCAGAAAAACAAAGCCAAACAAAAAGACGGTATAAGAATTGTTGATATATTTGAATTAAATATATATGTTTTAGAAGACACATGTATGATCAAGTAGTGTGTGTGTGCGCGTGTGCGTGCATGTGCACATGTGTAAATTAGTGTATGTGGAACTCAGTGCTTTGCACCAGCTAAATGTGCTGTGCTACAGAACTATACCTCCAGGAACATTATCTGAGTAGGGCTTTGGTGGGGAGAAAATACTATTTAGCTCATTCAGAGATGTAAAATCAAGCCTGTATGCTGTTGATTTGTATCTTTCATATGATATTGAAAAATTTGAAAAATTAAAAGGAAAGAAATAGTATTAAGGGAAAAACATTTTTCTTTGTTCCTTTTCTATTTTTAAAAAACATTTTTTGAACCTGTAAGTGTTTGTAAGATTTCTTGTCAGTTGTTTTTGTCATAAGTGAATCGAAGTTGAGGGATGGACATACTAGTTTCTAGATCTGTTTTTATTTTTAATTTTTGGATAATGTTTTATATATATATATATATATATATATATATATATATATTTTTTTTTTTTTTCTTTTAGAGACAGGGTCTGGCTGTGCAGTTCAGGCTGTTTTGAGCTCACTTTGTAGCCCAGGCTGGTCTTGAACTCTCAGCTATCCTTCTGCCTCAGCCTCTGGAGTGCTGGGATTACAGGCATGTACCTCCATGCCCGGTATAATGTTATATTTTAATATAAAACGTAAAACATTGCTTATACTATACCGTATTGTCATCTTCAATTTGGAATGAAATATACCAGTTGAGATCAGTTAACATCTTAACAGCCTAATTGAGTTCTCAGTTATGGTCATTTAGGCTAATGATTTTTCTCTTACAGAATTTTGCAAGATTGATAATTAGATGGAGACAATTGTAATTTTTCCAAATTTATGAAATCACCTTCAAAACATCCATAAAATATCTTTAGACATTCCTGTAAATACCTGTTGAAAGTTCATTAGCTTTGTTGTTTTTGCCTCTTTTGTAGACCACCCTAGTCTAGGGAAAAGCTATGACATTATTGCCATGGGATTTTCTCTGAATTTCTTGTGGTGGAGGATAGATATCAGCTTTGCAGATAAACAAATGACTTGTTTTCTGCCTGCATATTAAAACATTGAGTCATTTCACTAAAATCATTCGGATTGGATGCTGTGTTTTGAATGGAAAATCCTGTGGGATGATTAAGTTTTTTGGTCGTTAGCAATTTGTTTTGAAATAATAAACACACAGCTTAGAAAGTAACTAAACAGAATTAAAAGAATCTAGTAGAATTGATTATTTGGCTATTCTAAGCCAAACAAAAATAGAAACAATAGTTGATAATAAGGTGGAGACAATTGTAAATTTTCCAAATTTATGAAATCACCTTCAAAACATCCGTAAAATATGGATGGAAATGATCAACTGATTGACAGTAATATAATGAGCAATAGTGAAGTTAAAGAAATAAAACTTAGTCCCTATCAATTAACTTCATCTTAAACTGCTCTCATTTTCACTGCATTTCAGTTATATTGACTTTCCTTGTTTTTGTCAACACAATTCTTACAAAATTTTGCGTTGTGAATCTGTCTGAAAACTCTTTCCTCTTGTTTTCTGGAGTCGGTCTTCCTGTCCAGATCTTCGCTCACATATTTTCAGTAAGTTCCTTTGTGATTAGCCTTTTGGAAGTAGCGCTGTCATGCTCCTTCTTTCTCTGTTATTGTCCCGTTCCATTTTCTCTAGCATTTCCCCATTTTTGAAGTTACCTTAGTGATATGATCGGGCGAGACCGACACAGAACCAGACCAGACCTTCTGACACAAGAGGAGTCTTCATTGGCGGTTAGAGCGACAAGGCGGGCTGCTCAGTGAACTAGGACAGTCCCTAGCTGAGCAAAGCATGGGGTTTTTAAGCTTTTTTTCAGGGAGGGTGTTTTCCGGGGGAGAGGGTGTCCATGGGTCAGAACAGCCCGAGCAGAAGGTGTCCTTCCTCAGAGTTGAATGTCTGGTTTTGCCAAGGGGGATGAGGGCGGGGTTGGCTTTTGTTGAGGGAAACTGGAGGGGAACAGGTGAAGAGGAAGGAGTTTTTATTAGCTCCTTAATAAAAGAGCTTAAATCCCCTGGGGGGGTGGGGTGGTAAGTTGCCTTGTGACTTATCACTTACATACATCACTTAGATACTTATTTTTGTTACTTATTTTTCTTATGTAGAAATGTGAGCCAAGGACAGTGAGGATGTTACCTGGCATGTTGTACTATATCTTCAGCTCTTAAAATACTTTGTAACACTTAGTAGGCCTTCAATAAATATTTATAAAACTATCACTCTTTGGCTGTTCAGGGTGAATAGGTTTTTGTAAGTTAACTACTACTGACTGCACTTTATCTATAAAATATACTCTTTGTGTAGTGGTACTGGGGATTTAATTGAGGAGTGGGTGCATCTAAGCAAGTGCTGTGCTATTGAACGACATCTCAAGCCCTAGAATATACACTTTAAAACTCTAAGTTAGAATACAGTGTTCTGAGAATATCATTGTTTTATTTAATACCCTAACCACAAAAGGCCATTGGGAAAAACTTTCCTGTCCCTCTTTCCAACATGAGAATGTGGCACTTGAGAATAGTTGCCCTCTTCTGGTTCACATACTGTCCCTATCCCCTCATCTTCAACTTATGTTGTGTAAGGTGGCTTTATATTACAGGAAAGAAACAGTAAGTTTTAATGGCCCTTGTTCTGGGTCTGCTTTTTACTAACTTTGTTTTGTTTTGTTTTTCTTTTTTCTTTTCTGACTTTGTAATGTTAGGCAAGTTTTTCAGCTTATGTTTAAGTTTCCTTCAAAAAAATATCTCACAGTGTACTTACGAAACAAATTTACATATGTAATAAATATACTTAATGTGATGCGTGCCGCATAATCAGTACTCCTGAGTACTAACATTTAGTATTACTGCTTTTATTAGTTGTTTGCAGTACATAATGATTACATTTATTGAATTGGTACATGTGCATAACATATCTTAATTCTTTTTTTATGTCCTTTTCCCTTCCTTCTTCATTCTCCCATCTGTTTTACCTATTATCTATATGTTTTTTGTTATCTATCTTTTATTTTTCTCTTTATTTATACGGTACTTCGGGTTTCTCATGTAAGAGGAACCATGTAATATTTAAGCTTTGTTTTTTGTGTTTTTGAGACAGGGTCTCACTGTGTAGTTTAGACTTGCCTTGAACTCACTGTGTTCCCCAGGCTGACCTCGAACTTGCAGCGATCCTCCTGCCTCTGCTTCCCGAATGCTGGGATTACAGGCATGTACCACCATCCCTGGAAATACTTGAGCTTTTGTGTCTGATTTATTTCACTTTTATGGTTTCAGGGTACATCTGTTTTTCTACAAATAACAGAAAGGTGCATCTGTTTTTCAATAAATCTTTC